ACAAAGATGTTGTGTCCGCCGGAAACTAAAAAATAAATATTAAAAACTCTCTGTCTCTCTCTCTTATATAAAATTTTTTTAAAAAATCAAAAATTTAAAAAAAAAAAAAACACATGAAAGGAATTTGAAAGAAGAAGTTGTCCAGAAGTGGGCCAGGATCCAGGGCTCCTGAGAAGCCACTTTTTCACTGGACTCAGATCAATGGTGCTTTGGCCTGACTGACTGGGTGGTTCCTCCTTTGCCAAGAGAGAACTATGTCACCCCCATTCCGGAACTCAACCCTCTCTTAGGAAGTAACAGAATCCATCTTATTGTTCTAGAAACAGCATCCCAGGCAATAGGGACAGAGAAACTGGCCCAGCAAGAACTATCCGGGCCAACTCAGCAAGGTGACAAAGGGCCTAGGAGAGGAGGTGTTGGCTCCAGAAGGGCACATCAATCAAAGGAGCCGGTATTCATGGCACACTGGCTATCCTCAGTGCTGTGGCTGGGCCTTACAAGGACAGAAGGAAGCGAGTGGCACACAGGTAGCTGGCCATCTAGCTGGAAGGCAGCCAATGGGCATGTGAGAGCAGCCTAGACTTTGAATGCTAAGGGACACGTGAGCAGCACAGATGGTGCCACAGGTGTCTAGAGAGGCCAGCAGAAGCTGAAAATGTCCAGAAAAGGCAGGGAGCATTCACAGTATTCTGAAACACAGGAAACACTCAGGTACTGAGAAGGCCATTACCCAACAAGGATTCAGGAAAAAATGATCCCCACTAATTACCCCTTAAAGGCTTGAACCACAAAGTATGGCCCTAAAACCAGCAGCAAGGACATTACCTGGGAGCCGGTTCAAATGCAGACTCTCAGGCCCCACCCCAGACCCATGACTCTAAATCTGCAAGTTAACCAGAGACCTTAAGTCACATTGTGCAGGTTACAGTTAAGAGGTGCTGCTCTAAATGCCCTAACCAAAAAGCCACACAGAAAAGCAAGGCTGGCCTAAGGAACCGATGCCTGGCAACCCCCCAGCAGGTGCCCACTGTATTACTACACCAAAAGATGCTGCCTGGACAGCCTGGGTTCTAGGCCTGACTACGGAGAGAAGGCTCTGGGTGGCTTTGCAAGGCCTCGCCACCCTGTTTGTTTAAGGGCTCAGGTCATAGGCAGGGGCAAGCGGGTGTCCCAGGCTCAGGCTTTTGTTCCAGTCTAGTGGTTGGAACCTAAAGGCCCCATGCTGAGGAGTTCAGTTCATTACTGAGGCCTGGTGTAATTACCGCCCTGCCAACCCTCATTCCGTTCAGCATTCCTAACCTCCCTGATTGCCCTGCTCCAGCCTTTCTAACTGTGGGAGGGTCAGCCTCAGAAAATAATAATTAAAAGCTAACATGTCCTCTTCTGACTCTGGGTTTAGGGGTCCCCTGCTGTGACCCAATCCACCCAATCCTCACCATGAACCAAATTCTCCCCATCTAGACCTCTCCTTTTGGAAACCACAAATCGTTAGGGGTTCTTCTCACTGAGCAGCAGTGTTTTCTCCCCCTGCCAAATTCTGCTTTACCCCCACTTTCATCAAATGCTCCTGTGACTTCAATCCCATAACCTCACCCCACTTTGAAAGTATAGGAAAGAATGTGGGCTGAAAGCAAAAGACCTGGGTTCCAGTTCTAGCTGCTTTGCCTCCACAGTGACGCAGGGCAATGCACTTCCCTATTCATGCCCAGGTTTCCTCCTTGTAGAATGGGGGGATTAGAGAACATGGTTGATCTCTAAGGTTCTTCTCAGCTGTGACACTGTGATTTTATTTCAGAGAATATTGTGAGAATTAACTGAATTGATATAAGGATATTATAATACATTGAGGAGCTTAAAAATGTATGCAAACATCTAGAAACAAAGAGATACCTATCCTTAGGTCACTCATATCTCTCTCTCTCTCTCTCTCTCTCTCTCTCTCTCTCTCTCTCTCTCTCTCTCTCTCTCTCTCTCTCTCTCTCTCTCTCTCTCTCTCTCTCTCTCTTTCTCTTTCAAAGTGTCCTCCTGTTTTCCTGGTTCTTTTTCCCTTGCCAGATAGGGAGCAACATGAGGGCAAAGATTGAAGTTTCTATTTCTTTTGTATCCTCCATCAGTGACTAACACCCACAGAAGCTGCTCAATAATATTGTTTACTGGGTGACAGACTGATTGCCCTTCTGGCTGCTCATTCATTTAAATAGACTTGTAAGAAGCTTAACAGAAAAGTGGTCACCTTTGCTTCTTTGGAAAGAAAGGTAAAGAACCTCTTTTAAATATGCCTGCCTCACTTCTCTTAAGGAAAAAGGACTAGCTTGTCTCCTGAAAATTAACTGGATTTGGACAATCAAATGGAATTTTTAATACTGCCTTACACATGAGCACATACCAACATGCCCAGGGCTTAATTTCATTCCCCAAGCTCTTTCTGAGCATGCAATGTCCCAAACCCTGGCTCAGGTAGAGGGAGACACAGAAGAAATACTACAAAACAATAACATTTAAACAGAATTTAGAAATCAAAATAAATACGATCCCATTCAAAATGGTCACTTTCAAAGCTATGTATTTTGCTATGTTGTCTTTTTCAAAACTCTTTGAATATTTTTTTAATCAGTGCTGGATAGTAAACCAAAGGCCTAGTGCATGCTAGGCAAGTGCCCCACCACTGAGCTACATCCTCAGACCTGTCCTTGGAATTTTTTGAAAACCATCTTCAAAATCTATCACTGGGGCTGGGGCTGAGGCTGTGGTTCAGTGGTAGAGCACTTGCCTCGCAACACACATAAAAATAAATAAGTCAATAAAATAAAGTGTCCATCTATAACTAATAATAATTTTTAAAAACCCATCATAACATTTTCTATTGAAGCTGACATTTTTTCTTCTTCTTCTTCTTCTTTTTTTCTTTTTTCTTTTTCTTTTTGCAGTGTTAGGGATGGAGCCAGCACTGCACATGCTAGGCAGATGCTCTACTACTGAACTACACCCCCAGACCACAACATCAAGTCTTTTTGTAAAAGGGGGTTAGAATATCTTTTGAAGCCAATCCTGGTAAACAAACTGAATGACCAGGCTCATTCCATCAGGTCAAAAATCTAAATAATGTATATAAGGAAGTTTTTTAATGAGTATATGAGAAGGGGCAGCCTTCCAATGTGAGCACTTTGAAGATCCTTTTGAGGATCAGTTGCCTCTGTGAGAGCCCTCCTTGCTTCTACTCTGGTCCTACTCTCCACTTCTCAGCCCGCATGATCTGTTCTCAGCATATCAACCTCAGAGACCTTCTAGAATCATAAGTCTAATTATGTCACTCATTTTGAAGCCCCAAAAGGGTTCCTGTCTCATTCAGAGTAGAGGCCAAATTCCCCAGGGTGACTTCTGAGATCCAGCATGATCCAGCTCCATTGAGTTGAATCCCAAAACCTAGAATTGGCACATAACTGGCACTCAACAAATATATGTTGGGTTAGGTTGGATTGGACTGGATTGGGTTGGGTTGGGTTAAGTTGGATTGGATTGGGTTTATTGGGTTGGATTGGATTGGATTCATTTGCATTACCTTGCCTTTCATTGAAAGATGATCCCAACTCAGAAGCATATAGTCTCTTTCTTCCAGAGACTAGAGACATACACATAAAAGCATCTGAACAGTGCACAACAGCACTGACCAAATGGAATTCTGTGATGCTGTAGAAATCCTGGAGGGATCTGTATAAGATGGAGGAGAAGAAAGGGCTTGGGCTGACTCTTCCATCTAATCAAGCACATCTTCTTGTGCCAAGTTCATGTCTTTATTATTCCAGCCTCCACTCACTTGCTCATGCTGTCCTTCTGCCCTCTTACCTAAACCCTACCCACCCATCAAATCTCAGCCCACCTTTTCTTCCATACAACTTTCTTGAATTACCAATTGATTCCTCTCCCCTCCGAGCTCCTGTAACACCTGTGTTTGTTTTGTTTTGTTTTTACGGTACTTGAGATTGAACCCAAGGGTGCTCTATCACTGAAGAAGAAAAACTTGGGGAATGAAATTAAGCCTTGGGCATATTGGCATGTGCTCATTTGCAAGACAGTATCCTTGGTCCTTTTATATTTATATATATATTTTTGATACAGGGCCTCATTAAGTTGCCCAGGCTGACCTCAAACTTGTGATCATCCTGTCTCAGCCTCCCAAATTGCTGGAATGACACACATGTGCCACAGCACCAGACCAGCACCTCTATTCTGTATCAGACCATTTAGCCTTTAAATAAAAACTTTATGTATGTGCATGATGTCCCCAGCTAAGAACCACATCATTTGCATCTTCTCACATTTGAATAGGCCCAAGCACTATGCAGGTAGTGGCACTTCATACAAGTGGCACTAACTGATTGATTAATAAG